AATAGAAGAAATGAAATTACATTTAAGCAACTTTTATTTCTCCCCAACTTTAGAATTACAGACATCCCTGATATTTTGCGTTTATTCCAGGTGAAAGATATTTATTTACATCCAGATCCGTTTTCTGTGCAAAACGGTCTTCTCACGCCACAATTGAAAATGAAACGGCCTCAGTTGAAGGAATACTTCAAGCCGCAGATAGAGGATCTCTATCGACATTTGGACTGACCAGACTGAGCATCGACTTTTGATTCTGTTTTATCAGCATTGGAAGCAACAACACGAAGAAGGATCGAAACATTGTTTGCGCCGCATTCACAGAGAAATCATTATCGTCATTTGAATACTCGTTAATCCGCGATACTTTTATTCTATCATTTTCTTCATAATTACGTAAGTAGCGACGTGAAAGAAAGAAAAGAAAAGGCAAGCACCGTTTAAGCCATATTAAGGTAACTGATAACATTATAATAAAATGAGTTATTATTAGGCGCGTCTGATTTTCTTTTGACTATAATCATCCTTCGATACTTGTCACGTGTATTTACAGTCTTCTTCGATTCCCTATACATGTATTTTGATACACATTATTACCGCTTTTACGATTCATCTAACGGTACACTATATAGATGTATATTTTTATTGGTAACAATCATTAATGGAACTCGGAATTATAATTTAGTACAAAGTAGGATATCTAAAACGCGTGTTACTATTCATTTCCGTAAAATGCAATCAAGCACGTGTGCGATATGTAAAGCAAACTCTTAAGGTTTATATAATAAATAGATTGCAAAAACGGGCAACGTAAAAGTTAGTGAAAAGTTTAAATAATTTAAAACGTTTTAATAAATTTCGCTTGTAAACAATGTTCGCTGACGACACCATTGGACAAGTAAACTTTTTATAATTACTAATAATACATTAGAATTCTTTCTTCACTGTTTGGCGGCATTCCGTCAAATTTAAGCGTTCCTTGGTGCGTAATAATACGAGATCTACATTGGTACCATAATTGTGGTTAAAATTCGGGAGTATAAAATACTTAAATTATAATATTAAATGCTCCAAACAAGTGATTAATAAAAGGACATGGTATGACATTCCTTCGATATATAATTTAATAATCCCCTAACGAACGTTGCAAGCGATAATTATAACACTTGAAACTCACTGAATAATAAATATAGCTTCTGAGTCGATATTCCAATCGAAAAAATGGTGCTATTCGTCTTTTTAGCTTTTAGATACAAAGCTATAAAACATGACGATACAAGCGACAAGTACGAGCGTTAATGCTACTGCCGCTAAAATAACTCGTTGCTGAAAGCTTCTAAAAATCATTCCTGAGAGTAACCGCGAACCACGACCCAGCTCTGCATCCGTGTCTCTTAACTAGAACAGTAGAATATACTTAAAATTACCAGAAATAATGATAATAAAATAATAATCT